CGCCTAGTGTGTACAGGGTCTTACACTACTATGCATATGTAGCTAGAACTATTTCTAAGATTATCAGCACAAAACCTTTCTCACTAATTTCTAGCCTTATTAACAGGAGTACAAACGTTTTCGGCCTTCTTAATAGGCCTTCCTCGGGTACACTGTGGAGCGTCAGTTAGAAGAAGTTTAAATGCTGCCAATGTTTACCCAGGTATCGTCTTACCAGTGACGTCATCGTCGATGATAGGTATACAATACCGAAGGCGAAAAATACATACTTTTGGTAAAGAAGGGAGGTGTGCAGATAGGATACTTGCTAAAGTTGGGGAAAAAGGCTAGAAATTAATAAGGCTAGAAATTAGTGAGAAAGGTTTTGTGCTGATAATCTTAATGATATAATTTAGTTAATATTTTAACTGGATCATTTTGCTTTCTGTAAAATGTGTTCTTTTATAACCTTGTTTCACTTAAATTAATATTGCAGTTTCCAAGAACCTATTGCCAATGTTAAATGAGGACTTGCTATACTTTCAATCACATTTAAAAATTTTTTTCTAAAGCATTATATCTATAAACAAAATAAGACAATCAATGGAGAAGATTTTTTGTAAACTCCAAACAAACACATTCTGAATATGTAAGACTTAAAAATATAACTTTAAATGAACTCCTCAGGGACATATAGTGCTAACCCTCAGAATCACATTTCTGAGATAATTGAGTTTGAATGTTAGAAAAAAATCCTAAAATGAAAACTCCAAAATGATGAGATGACAACCATATCTAGAGGCAATGTTCAGAAAGCAAAAATATTAACACACACACACACACACACCTATTCGTGGTGTAAGCAGTCAATTCCAACCAATTTTATTTCATTTGGGGATATTTTTAATTCATTTTCTTATTTATTCTTTGGGACATTTTATTTCATTAAGGATAGACTACTGCACTACATTCAGACAAAATTCTAAATCTAAAAACGAAACTCGCATTACTATGATGTCTGCTGAGAGTGAATCGAATGTGCCATCAACCCAGAAATGACATCTTGAGGAGACTTCCAAAAAGAAGTTAAAAGAATGATCTACCCCAAATTGTCAGCAAAAATTTAAAAAAGAATTATGCGTGGGTTATGACATGACATGGAAAAAAATTGCTACAGTTAAATAAATGTTGTTAATTATATGTATGTAAATAGGGTCGAGTGGGCCTACCAATGTAACATCACCATCCCAGCACTATTAGAGATAACTTTACCTTGTCTTGTTTGCAACTTAAAGAAAAGAGCTTTTGATTTGGATGGCAGATTAGAAGTTTCTTCTTAGTGATGATTAGTCAAGTTAATTTTAAAATAATTTTGTGAAATTCCTATATATATAGTCAATTTTATCTCCAAGAACAGACAAGAAATATGAACTTAGTTTAAGATAATTCTAAGTTTAGCAAGTGTTGGGAAAGTTTTTGTATAAACCTTGCTTTTGTTTTTGATCAAATACAAAAGTATACTTTTATCTAAATTTTTTCTAACTTATTTCATATTGTACACAGTCAGTCAAAGACTAATAAATAGAATCTTTTCCTTTTTACATATAGTAAAGTAATTATTTCAGGGTCTCGTTTTTTGGCTTATGTAACATTTTAGGTAATTTTCATGGTTCAGAAAAGTTAGATGTTACAATACAATTTTAGGATTTTTTCAAACATTCAAACTCAATTGCCTCATAAATGTGATTCCAAAGGTTAACACTGTACATCTCCAAGGGCTTCAAATAATAAATTAGGCTTTTGTATATTCTTTATAATTTAATTATAAAATCAATTTTTTTTAATAATATTAAATTTGTATTCATGATTAGTTTTTCTTTATTTTAGTTTTCATCAAAACCAGTAAATAATGTAGAAATAATTTTTCTTAGTGATCATATTTCCTTTAAATTTATCAAAAAACAAAACTGCAGATTAAAAACATACATGCATAGAGTATATAAAATACACAATGTAGTCCAACTGAAATGTTGCCATACAAATATATGCTAATTATCTTCTTTAAAAAAAAAAAAAAATATATATTATTAAGAATTAAAATCTTTAAGATATTAAAAACAATTTGCTGCATTGTTTAAAGGTTTTGTTTTTTACTTATTTAAAAAAAAAGTCACAAAATTTGATAATTGACATTTGGTAAACCAAGCAATGTTTAATAGAAATTTTTTCATTATCTATCATTAAATATTCTATGGAACAGAGATAAGATTCTGATCAGTTTACAAGAACACATACAAAATGCCCCAATTGTTACAAGATGCATTTTGAAATACTGCTGGACAATTTTAGCTAAACAGAGTTAATAGTGGTCATCATGTCAAGCCCTACTCATGTAATTCTGTACTTAAAATTACTTATTATTTTCACGTGTTTCAATAAAATATACAGGAAGTCTGTCTGTATGTTATAAGAGGCAAAATTCATCTTCTGGAGACAAAGCAATTCTAGTCACTTGTAAGAATCTAACCTTTGCTGTTGATGTATAATCACCCTGTAGGATCACATGTTCAGGTTATCTGCATACAAACACAGTACAGAATTTTAACCAATAAAATTATAAAATTTTTGAAAATACAGAGTACAAAATTATAGAACACAGAAAAGAAAATACAAGGTTCTAATAAAGTATATGGTTTTTGACAAGGCATGTCTTCGTTTTGTTTTATAAAATTTTACAGATTCTAATGTTAAAATGTCCTAGGTAAGACTGTCTTCTCAATGAATGGAAATTTAAACAACAGAGTGAGAAAAGAATCTGTACTTAGTTAAGGTTAAATTAGATGGCAATATTTTGAAAAATGGTTTGAGACAATCTCTAGAATTAATTAATAGGATTAACAGCTTATCCATGCTTCAGTAATTGATGTATTATCATTCCTGAGTGAAATGTAAAGTGGTTGCTTTATAAAAAATCAAAAGTTGCTTTACTCTTTCTCAAGATGGAGAATTTCTCCAATATGATTGTAGAGAATCCTATCTGAATTAACAGATTCCCTCTTGCTGGTTTGTTGTACCAAATTGAAATAGTCAAACATAACAAAAAAAACCAAAACAAAACTTTAACAACAATCCACAAACCTTTTTATAACAGTGTTGTGTCCTATAACAATCTTCACTAACGTTTTCGACCTCCATCGATCTCAACAGGGCCCCAGGGGTATACTCCATTCCCATCAGGGACGATAGATTCCATAGAGACTTGGTTTACATTGGCACCATCAACACAAAAATGGTTATGTGAGCATCGGATATTAAAAATAACAGACACACCACCGCCTTGTCGGCCTACATTACCAACCCTGAAATTCAGATAGACTTCCAAAACACCAAAGTAATCAGACAGGTGTTTCGTATTGATCACATCTGTCACCTGAAGGCCTGGGAGATTTATAAAGCCAACATTGGAGGCATTTGCATCAACTTCAAAGACGGAGAAACGATCACGCAGGCATGGAGATACTTATTCGAAGAATTCGAACTGGGACAAGTGGAGGGGTGAAACGCGCTTTATTTACATCTCGGGCATCATCATTCCAATGGTCAAGAGGAGACACAGTTTAGTCACCACCTGAAGCAGACCTCGGTGGAGGTCAAAAACGTTTGTGAAGATTGTTATAGGACACAACACTGTTATAAAAAGATTTTGTGGATTGTTGTTACTCAACACAGTGTTAAGATTAGTAGTCATTTTGTGTTAGAAACAAAACTTTAAATCACACTTGATTGTGTATGATAGAAACTCAATCCTATGCAGTATTCTTATCATTCCTTGCCCACTTTCAAACTCTATCAGTTCTTTTCTCTCCACTAACTCTACCATCCTCCCACATCTACTCTAACTCTCTTTCCACACCCTCCCCTCTCTCATTTTTCTTGCCTTTTTTCAACCTATTTTTATGGCTCTTTGTCTACCCTTGTTTATTACTTTTACGACTGCTTGTAAAGGGATTGGATATGGATGACAAGATAGCAGTTGAAGGGGAAGAGTAGGTCCAATATCACTACAATGATTGTATAGAGTGAGCAGCATCCATATTAGATATAAAAAATTGAGGCTACAGACAAAACAGTAGTTTAAAGGCAATTATCCACTCGTCTTTGAGAGAAAAAAGAATCTTCAAGAGATAAAGTTGTCCAGAACATAGCATTACGGAGAAGCAATGATCTCTCAAAACAAACATTCAACCAATCAGAGAGTAGTTTGACATCTCGTCTTCAAGAGATGTCTCAAGACAGGAATATGGTTCTGGATTTATTAGTTCCTTTTGGTATTATTTCAGTAAAAGTAATTTTCAGGTAATCTGTATACAGGGCTGTCAAGAGAAAAGCTAGGGACTTCTACATCCCCAAATTTTCTGAGTTTGGGAATGTAGTGGTTTCATCTATAAATTAATGAAGAAACATTATACGAAAAAAAACATGGCAAAAAGAGCAAGGAGCCTACTCTTATTTCCAGATCAATACACGCTTGCAACACCCACCTGAGCCGTATACATCGTATAATTTTAGGTAGTGCGAGAGTGTATACACACAAATCTAAAATTAACTTCAACCTTTACACCATAGAGTTGGCATACAACCCAGCATAAACATTACATCACACAGAAAATTTTGCATATATACACACATAATAATTGCTTAATAGGATAAAACTTTGATTCAATAAAAAAAAAAAATTCTGTAATTTCTTCCTTCAATAAGGCTCATATTTCATATTTAAAAATAAATAAATAATTTTAATGTTTTAATCACTCACGTGACACAAACACAAAGCTAGTGTAAAGTAACACATAAATCAAATAATTTAAAATACGTCATAAAGAATAATTTTTTAATTATTAATTAAAATTTTTNATAACAAACTAAAAATATGAAATTAATTAATTGAAAATTTGCTAAGCCTAAGTTTAGGGTTAAGATGAACGACGAATTATAAATAACGCATAAAGGTTAAATCTTACAGGAACTCGATCGGGATACTTCTTTCTAATTTTCTCTCCTTCGCTCCTACGCTTTTCGAACGGATGCTCTTCTTTATAAACGAACTTCATCTTGTTTTCAGCATAAAATCATTTGTTTTTTTCAAAACAAAAACAAACAGAACTTCGTCTGCGTCTTTTTTGATCGTTCCTCGTCTGACGTAACGCACGAGATTTAAATCCCAACGTAGATTTATCCTACCGTCGAATCTTCCGACGTCGAATGTCGAATTATTTACGAATAATTAAATAATATTTTTCTAAAAAAAAAATAACAAACCCGAAACTCGAGAATTAAAGTACGACGAGTTAACCTTCTGACAACGACGTCACCGTATCTTGTGACTGCGGGATTTTTAGTGGCGATTGCTACGACATAACTACGTCATTGTTTTTCTCACTTTGTAAATACGTGACTCATTTAATTTAATTTTTTCCCCCTTTTCCTTTTTTTTTTAATTTTATCGTTCGGATAAATTTATTTCGTATCATTATTAATATTAAAAAAGTATTATTATTNTCTAGTCGTTGAAACATCTTAGCAATTAACTTATGATCCTTAAGTCAAATTTTGACTGTTATTTATGTAAAAATTATACAAATAATAATAGAAAATTGTTTGTTTAATAATTCAAAGTGAAATAAAGAATGGATACAGATGAAAAAAGTAGAAAAAAACTGGGATTTATCTTAAAGAAAAAAAGAAGGCTCTGGAAGAGCATTCTTCTATTCCTTGAGATCCTTGAGAGATTGAGAGAGAGAGAGAGAGATCTTCTATTCCTTAAGAGAGAGTATCCTTTATCAAGGATACATTCTCTATTACAAATTTTTTACAAAGTAATTTCGTAAAATTTAATATAAACTTTTTTGTAGTTATGAAGTATACATAATTTGGATTTGTCACTTGTTTTAGCTTCTCCGTCAAAATTGGACTAAATATGGCATCAAATTTTAGACCATATTTAGTCCAATTTGTCACTATTTTGTCATTATAACGTCTTGTGATATCTTATTTTTAAAAAATCCTGTTTTATTGCTTTGATAATAGTATAAAAACAATAAATAAACGGGTATTTTGAACTAGGAACAGTCAAATCTAGAGAGTAAAACAATGCAAAGTGGCTATAATAGGGATAACTAATGACATAACCCGTTCCAAATTGTCATTGGCATGTTTATCAACCCTCTACCAGAAACACGCCCACAGATTCGACTAGCAAGGCTGAAGTCATTTGGCTTTAATAAAGTAAAATGGTGGCACTGTTGCGTGATTTCCATAATTTCCGGTAGCAAAATGCAAATGGAAGTTACATGGTGCAGGATATACTTTGCACAAACACTAGGAACAAAAATCTTAAATTAACCGCTTTTTGCTATTCTAAAAGACAAACAAACGCACTGTTTTTATGGTCGGAAGTGCGTCAATGATCCAAAGCTTGATGGTATCGGGTGCCACAGATGATAACCTTCTTCCATGCATTCAAGCATGGATACTAAGCTTTAATTTAAACAGAATACTGCACCTTTAGGAGCATCTTCAGTATGTACTGTACATGACATAAGAGAGCTTTTTATACAATATTTGCAATAGGATAATTGACTAGAAACTCTTTTTTTCTAAGATCCAGTTGAGGGGAGTATGCTGCCATACACCAGATCCAGAAGAATTTGCACAGTCTTTGCGCAAATGAATAACAACAATTCTTTTTCACATAAGTGAAAATGCAAATTATCAACAGATCTTGACAAGAGCCATATTCAATTGACTAATTTTCAAACAGAAATAGCTGAACATATCAAAGAGATCATCAAGGTTTACGAATGAAACATTGACATTAAACATTGAACATTAGTTTTGTTGCAGTTGTTGGCAGAATGAAAAGTTGGTAATTCTAAAAACTTAAAATACACCATTAGTGCATTAAATGTACTAATATTTCGCCCCTTTATGTTCTAAGATAAGATTATTTTTTCAGGTTTATGGTAGGTTCGGCCAGGCTCATAACGGGGTGGCTAACGGGATGAAACTTGACAATTGGAACAGACAATGCTTTGAAAAATTCCTAGTGTTCTTTCACGGCCAGGTCTCCCAAAGCGGTAAGCTGACCGACCACGACTTCTAACCCTCAATTTATGATATACAACCTTTGGAAATCAAAATTTTATTTATGAGGTTCACTCAACGACTAGAACTAATCAATCATAAAAGCGGATCTAATACAGATCCAGTTGCATATTTTGTGGGATTCAATAAATATACAAATTGAAGACGTCAAAACCTCTTTAAGCAATTCTAAGAATGGATTTGCACACTTGAAGCTGGCTCTGGTCTAGTAAAAATTGTTTCTTTTTTATAACATTTTCACTATCTATTATCAGTTGACTCGATATTATGTTATCATACGTTCATACGTTATAAGTTATCTGATGGATTACATAATTTTTAATCATTTGTTTACTTGATGGTTTTGAAATAACCTTATTGATAACCATTGGATAATTCTCTTGAAAGTTTGGTTTTGAATGCCACTATGAATTTTTATAGATAATTTTAAGTAATGTATCACCTCTTATCCACATCTTATTATGAGTCAAATCTACATATAATGAGCAAATATCGAGACTTGTCTAATTCATTGTGAATTGACATCACAAATAACAGATTTAATATCATACAATCTATGGGACAAACTGCAATTATTCAATATTAATTAATTAATTAATCATGTCTCATTATTGGTTCTGCATCCAGTCATAATTACCTCCATTAGGCTACACGTACAATGAAATCAGTCAACATGGTTGAGGGATGGGAAACAACAGGCGATCTATACTAATGCTAAATTGTAGGGAAGGTCAAATTCGAACCCGGATCCGCTCCTCCATATACTTTTACCCAACGTGATAAGTGTTGAAACCTTATCCCCAGCTATTTCTATTTTATATGTAATCTATATTGAATATCCAGCCATTTAAAATTATACATCTGTTGCTTCGTATTAATCATGTTATTTATTCATAAATACCATTAATATTTGTATTTCTAATGAAAGTGACATTAATAGAATAGAAATACAAATATATTTGAATTGATTAAACTATTTGTTTTTTGCTTACAATTTGCCCATGTCTTTTTTTTCATTTATTAATATTAGGTGAATTATTGTAGTTTGCAGTGAGAAAGGAGCTTTGATATATGTTGTTAACAGTGTATACTGTGTTTATTAAAATTAAGCCGAAAAAAGTTAGAAACAGGTTAGAGAAGGGGATTAAAAGTCAGTAGATTTAGTTCTTGGATTTCAAATATAGGCTATTAGAGGAAAAAGAGGAAATTTAAACTATTTAGACAACATAATCAACATATTTACAGGCACATAATAACTTAGAGATGATCAGAGAATGATGAGTTAGAGGTTGACAAATAAAATAGGTAAATGTAGAATGGCAAGAATTCATACAAAATTTCTATGGCTATTTAAATGTATCAGAGAATAAGCTATGGTTTTCCTAATTATATTGTCATACATATGTAATGAAATAAAACAGTAAAATGCAAATTTATTTACTTATTTTACCATTACCTAAGAGCCCACCAATGGTCAAGCGGTCTTCATACCCTAAACACTGGGAGTTTGGTCGTGGGTTTGCACCTCACTCAGACAGGCTGGCCAAGTGGAGTTTTCCAAGTTTTTTCCACGTCTATAACATCTAAATAGGGGCCAGTTCCCCTTAAAAAATACCTCCCTCTAGGCAGATTGCCCAAGTGCAATGCCATAATTAAACAAACTTGAAAACAGTAAAACTACCTACTAACCAAATAGATAAACCAACTTCCTGCCATAGTGTGACTTTAACAACAGCTATTGATAACCCGACACATTACTTGAGAGCATAGCTCAAGAACCAGTATATCTATTAACTCTGGTAACATTCTCCCGAAAATAAAAGTTTTTACCTGAATATTAAAAAACTGCAGTTTTAATCTTACAGACAATGACATAAATAAAAGTTTTACTCCCATAATCAAAATATGATAAAGGCCTTCCAATGATTAAGGCTGCAATCTCCACATATAATATAGAAATTAAAATAAAATATTTAAATTGTTAGAAGATAATAGCGAGGTTGAGTTTTAAACGCGAAAACATGTACATCGGACGTTCAGCGCCGCTTTCCTGTAAGTGAGAAGTTTGACAATGGTGTTTGGATAGTCAGTGGAATCATGCTCGACATTCCAAACACCATTGTCAAACTTCTAGGCTTACAAGAAAGCGGCGCTGAATGTCTGAAGTATACGTTTTTGTGTTTAAAACTTCAGCCTCAACCTCGCTATTATAGGTAGGTTTACAGGTTTCCTCTGCTCTTCAAAAGTAGAGCATTGCTCTAAAATCTTTTGCAAATGGCATAAAGCGAAGAAGCAAATACCATTAACCTATGCGGAAAATGTTTTTGCTCGTTTCCAGATCCAAAATTAACTTTCCAGGCAACATTTGGTAGCGTCATCTGTTTGATATTTTATTTTAAAAAGCTTTTTATATTTTCAACTATTATAAAATGGCAAAAAGCTTAATTTTGAGGGTAAGAATAGGTTTTATAAAAAATAAATTGTAAATGCTAATGAGTAAAATCATAAAATCAGAGGTTGTATGACATACAACCTCTTTGATTTTACTCATTAGATTCTACTGGAGATATGACATACAATCCCTTTATCTCCCTACCTGCTTGACCTTTAATCACCAAAATTTAATAGCATGAATCCCCCTAATAAACAAACCTCCCTGCAAAATTTCAGAAAATTTCAACCAAAAACATAGGAGTTATTAAGCTTCAAACAGGGTAAACAAAATTGTCTCCCACACATGCAAATATCCATACATATAGAAAAACCATCAACAGTTTTTTTTTTTTGCATTTTTCGACGTTTCAAGGTCCCGAGTCCAAAAATGTAACAATTTGGGGAGAGATTATTTGTTGACCAATCGCCATACTTTCCTTTTGCTATATATTATATATAACAGAGTCAGGAAAGTAAAAATGGAAATAGTACCTTTCCTGCATGCGCATCAAAATCTAATTTAAATAGCAATGTCATCAATGATTAATGTCATGACGTCTAATGACGCGAGGCGATCTTGGCATCACTAACTTCTGAATTGATAGTCTTATCATTAATTGGTTGGGCCATCAACTATAACACAGGAACTATAGAGACCATCCTTTTTTAAACTCTACGCCCTATGGACACTACGAGGGCCTCTTTTAGCAAGCCCATTATGGGTTCAGCCAGGCCTACAATGAGATGGACAGGGCCAACATATCTGGTCAGACCACCAGATACGTCTGCCCCAGGACGGG